CCCCCTTTCCTGCTTTTCTCTATTAGGAGCTTGCTATGGCCCATGGTGTAAGTAGAAATGAATTCACTGATCTCATCGCTTTGAGTAGATGTGTCAACCATAAACCAGAAAAATTAAAGCCTGAGTTTATAAAGATTAAAATCTTCTATTTTGAGCTTAGACGTACTTAATGATTTGCTTTTAGTGCTTCTCCAATTTTAATATGCATAGGAATCCCCTAAAGATTTTGTCACATGAGCACTCTGATTCAGTTTTGTGAGATAGGGCCTGGGTCCCACATTTCCAGTGGGATTCCAGTCATGTTAGCGCTGCTCATACACAAACAAGTCCCGCGGTGGGGACTTAGGTCACATTGTTGGTTGAGAGTGTCACTTTACGTGTGAAAGTACTGTGCATTTGGATATCTTCATACCATTGTCAGTAATAGTATCAGAAAAACAGATTATCTTGAGAGGAAACACAGATGTCTTAGGGTTCTTTGCTAGAGCCAACAAAGGTACGGCGATGTTGCTTTTTAAAAAGTAATTACCATTATTAATATTTACATCGCCACCATAACTTTTCTGTCCTTACGTGAAAGCAAATAGGTTTTATCTTTCTGTCAGCAATGAGCAAAACAATGTCCTGGAAGATGAAGTCTTCAAGTATTCATTTAGCTACTCAGCTGTCATTTTGCTGAATCCCTATTATAAACTATATTGCTTACCGGGCACTCAGGCTGTGAATATTATTTATTTAATATCAAGGAACTTGTAGTTCTTAGAGGATTTACAACTTAAATGCAGTGCTTACCAGAGAGTTTAGTGTAGTATAATTAGAGAATCATAGAGTCAGAAATGATGAGGTTATGCAATTCTAGAATAAGAGGAAATTTTATTTTAAAAACAAAACAACACAAATAAAAATAATACAGAATTTCAAAACAAAATAATAGAAAATTAACACTAGTCAATATATTGCACATTGTTATCTCCAAAGTAGTTGTTCAGATTATAAGATTCGGCATGAATAAACGATCAAACAATCAATGAAAGCACAAACTGTTCTTTTTAATGAAGAGATTAGTAGCATAGTTATCTATTATATATGTGTGTGTGTATATATATAAAATGTTTTCCCTTCTTTTCTCTCGATGGTTCTTTCCTTTCTGGCACTTTCACTTTCACAGTATCTATTGTGCATTTTGGGTCTTATTTACTCTTTCAGTTTTTTTTTACACTAGGAAGACAATGTGATATTTACACATGCTAACCTTTATTTATTTCACTTATGACTACAATCTCAAGTTGAATCCATTAACCTATTAGAGCCTCAAATTTATCCTTCTTTATAGCTGAGCAGTACTCTATTGTATAAAAATAACTCATCTTTTTATCCATTCTTCAGTTGATGTTACAAGATTTAGCTATTACAAATTGTGCTGCTATAAATGTGGGTGCACATATATCTCTGTGGTATGATGTTTTCAATTCTTATGGGAAAATACCCAGAAGAGGAACACTGTGAAGACTCTCCACACTGATTCCCACAGTGGTTGCACCAGTTTATACAATAGTGGGGAAGGCTTCCTTTTCCCCTACAGCCCCCCCCATCATTTGTTATTGGTTGATTTCTTGATGACAGCCATTCTTTCTGGAGCAAGATGGAATCTCAATGTTGTTTTAATTTGCATTTCTTCAGTGACCAGTGATGTTAAACATTCCTTCATGTACTTATTTGCCACTTATATTTCTTTATCTGAGAAGTATGTGTTCATCTCAGGTATCCATGTTTGAACTGAGTCATTGAATTTAGGGACCTTATTGTTTTCAGTTCTTTATATGCTCTAGATATATAAGTTGTGTCTGAGGGACAGTTGGCTAAAATTTTTTCCCATTCTGTGGGTTTTCTTTTCACTGTGTTGGTGATTTCTTTAAATGTGCAAAAACTTTTTAATAAGATAAAATCTCAAGTGTTGACGTAGTTCTTTGACATGCTTCCTATGCCATTTATGTTTTGTTCATGGATTCTTTGCCTATTCCTGTGTCTTCAAGATTTCTACCTACCTTGTCTTCCAGTAGATTTAGTGTTTCTGTTTTAATATTTAGTTCAATTTTGACTTTAATTTAATGCATGGTGATAAATATAGATCTAGTTCTAGTTTTTGGCATGTGGAAAGCCAATTTTTCCAACAGCATTTATTAAAGAGGCTAGCTTCTTCCAGTGAACATATTTGGCCCCTTTGTCAAAGATAAGATGGCTGAGTGTCTTTGTAATTGTGTCTGCATCTTCCAATCTGTTCCATTGACCCTGAGATCTGCTTTTTGTTTTGTTTTTTACAGTACCATGCTGATTTTTATCACAGTAGTTTTGTAGTATAATTTCAAGTCTAGAGTTGTGATGCCTCCTGCCTTGCCTTTGTTGCCCAAGATTGCCTTTGCTATTCTCAATCTCTTCTGGTTGCAAATGAATTTTAGGAATATCTTCTCTAGATCTGTGAAGTATAACAATGGTATTTTGATTGATATTGCATTAAATCTGTGTAACAGTTTTGAGTGTATGATCTTTTTCACAGTGTTAGTTCTTCCTATCCAAGAGCAATGAATATTTTTCCATTTCCTCATAGCCTTTTCAATCTCCTTTTTCAGAGTAGTGTAGTTTTCAATACATAGTTTTTTTTTTTTTTTTTTTTTTTTTTTTACATCCTTTGTTATTTTGAGTCCTAAGTATTCCATTTTTTGGAAGGGAATATTAACAAGTGTAACAGAAGAGAACACAAAATAGTCCCTGTGCAAAAGCACAACTCACAACAGCTAGAGGATTGGCAAACTAGAGCACCCTGCTTGACTTTACCGTGTCTTTCTGTGTTTTACACTTCTGCCAAATAGCATCCCTTCCCATGTCCTTACCTTTACTCCTGAGAGTCTTTCTACCGGGAGACACACACAGAGGCACACATGCACACATAAAAGTTTCCCCTATTTCATCTTTTCCCAAATATGAACAAACCCTTGAAGATCTACCTTTAATACAGGTCAGGAACTGTTTTCTAGTGAACTTTAACTCTCCTCTGAGTATTCCACTTAATCTGCTTAACTTAGTGAGCTATTTTGTGTGTTTCTTCTTTGTTTTCCTGCTACATCTTAGTTTGAAATTCTCAGAGTACAAATGCTCTGCTGATCCAAGAGCATCAGGAATCAGAAGCTAAGGGATAGATGTTCCCGAGATCACAGAAGCAGATGGGAAACACAGTCTGAGGGCTCGGAACTCCTTCGGGTGCTCAGGCCAGGTCTTCTTTATCTACCTGTTTGCATTGCTGGCCCTTCTGCCCCTGTGGCCTGACTTCCCTAAATCCTGGGCTATCTGACTGCACTGATGTGTGCTGTAGGAGGAGGACAGGGACAAGGCTGGAGAAAGTCCACAAGTGTGATGAGTCTATGGGCACATGAGGCTGTGCGAGGAGATAACCAGAAGCTACTGGGTTCTGGGTTAGAAGAGGAATCTTAGGATTCCTTGTAACTTGACATGAAATAGCAACTCTGAATGTCAGAAAGGCAACCCAAGAAAATCATGAGACCACACACACACACACACACACACACAGAGAGAGAGAGAGAGAGAGAGAGAGAGAGAGAACGAGAGACAGAGACAGACAGACAGACAGACAGAGAGAGAGAGAGAGAGAGAGAGAGAGAGAGAGAGAAACCAAATATACTGAACCAAGCAAGAAACTGGACCTTACTCAAAAGATAAAATAACATTTCTGCCACCATAGAACTGTACTTGCAAAGCCGTAAACCGGCTTCCAGCCTAAAACCCAGGACAAGAAAACCAGGGAGCAGATACCAACTTCCTAGCAGAGATGGTGGAGTTTTCAAGGATAGAAAACCAGTTTTGCCACAGCAATACAGAGTGCTGAAAATGTTTTTGCTTTGAACTGTGCCAAGTATTCTCTTCTTTCTTTTCTCTCCCTCTGTCCCCTGTCCCTGTAGGGTCTGTTTCAGAGTTCTGTTCTGAGGGAGATGGGGCAGCGCAGATACGGGACTGGGCCCCTGCTCTGGGCAATGGGGTGTGGGCTGGGTCCTAGGGGTTCCCGCCAGCAGGTGAGGCGGAGACCCGCAGTTCCCTGCCTCACCCGGCACGGAGCTGCGGCAGCCCAGGAGCCACAGGCCGGGCTGGGAGGGGAGTCCGGCCCGCAGCTCGCCCCCAGGCCCGGGAGGGTGGGTTGGGGCCACTGCTTTCTCTTCCCGGTGCAGGAAAGGGGAGGAGGCAGGAAGAGTCTGCAAGCGATTCCAGCCCTAGGGAAAGGGACCCAGAGGGAGAGCGACAGCGCCTGGGGAGAAACAAAGGCCACCGCCCCGCGGGTCTGGAGCGGCGTGGGCAGCGGGTCTGTGAGGCTCCTCGCTCCAGCGCAGCCCGGGAGGCGAGGTGACCCGGCCGAGCCCGGGGTGAGCTGGGCCGCGCTAGCTGGGGGACACTCTGGGGCGACAGGTGCGCGGCGGGCGGGGCGCCCCGCCTCTTCTCCTTCCCCTCCCTTTCCTCCCCTGCCCTGCGCTCCCCTCCACTACCCTCCCCTCCTCTTCCCATCTCCTCCCCTCCTCTCCCCTTCCATCTCCTTCCCTCCTCTCCCCTTCCATCTCCTCCCCTGCTCTCCCCATCCTTCACCTCCTATGCTCTCCCCTCCCCTCCTCTCCCTTCCCGTCTGCGCTCTTGTGCGGATCCCTAAGCGACCCCCGAGGCGCCAGGATCTGGAGTCGCAGCTCCCGATCTGCGACTAAGTGAGTGTCGCCTGAGCGCCGGGCTCGCGGAGGGCGCGGGTCCAGGCGAGGAGCAGCGGGCAGCAGGGGCGGCTCCCGGCCGCGGACCGGAGCGTCCAGGGGAGCCCGGCCAGGTAGGCGTGCGCGGGAGGGGCGCGCCCAGGTCGCAGAGCGGGGCACCCACCGGGCTGGGCCCCGAGCTGAGCGCCGCGTCCTGGGGAGCAGCGGCTGCGAACTTGCAGCGCGGCGCCCAGGGAGTGCGCGCGTGTGAGTACGTGAGTGTGAGTGTGCGCACGCTCCTGTGACCACGAGCGCGCTCGTTCCGAGTCCTCGCGGCGCCCTGGCGCGGTCCGGGGCGTCCTCCTCCCACGCCCCGCTGCCCGCAGCTGCTCCGGCGCCGACGCGGTTCGCAGCGCACGGGCGAGCGGGAGGCTCGCGGCTCAGGGCGGGGAGCCTGGCGTCCTGCACCGGAGCCCCGCGGGCCGGGGAGGCGAGGTTTGTGCTGCTGTTTAAAGTTCACCGCTGACCCACGGGAGTGACGGTAAATACGGAAATTTACCCCTCAGTCCTTAGGGCACGAAGAATCTGCTGCTTCTCCCAAAATGCCTGTATTTTTTGCCTTCAGGAGTGATCTTGTCAGGTTCTCCAGTAGGAAGGGGTGGGGTCTGCGAGGGCCACAGTGTAACCCCGGGCCGTCGCGCCCCCACGCGCAGCTGGCTGTCCGGTCCTGCGCCGCCGTCTGGGGAGGTGGCCGCGTCCGCCGCGGTCTGCTCAGTGAGCCAGCGGCGGGGCTCCAGGGTGCAGCGCAGAGGTCACCACGTCCTAGAAATCAGGTTCGAACGGGTAACTTGCTGCATTTTAGGGCGGCCTTCAGACGCCCCAGGAGATGCATGACCCAAGAGAAAAACGAAGGCAGGGAGTTCAAACCATGGAAGCCAAGCTTTCAAAACAACAGGCTTTCCACGTCAGGTTCTGGACCCCTAAACGAGGAAGAACTCCTAAATAGAGCTGAAATAATTCTCCTGCTGACAATAGACTCGTTAGAATGTTTTTAAACCGCTCCTATGAAGCCTGTGTGGAGAGCTGAAGGACCGGTAGATGGATACTTTCTGTTTCTCCTGTGAGATCTTTCTAGTGCAGACAGAAAACAAAAGTATTTCTTCTCGCTTGAAATCCAACTCAGGTGTAAAGTATTATATTTGGTGTGATACTTCATAATTTGTGAAATATAAATAGCCTTTTAAAGGCCCTATTTCTATATATCTAGCCATAACATTGCATATTTAAGAGAGTTTTCTGTCATTCAAGAATGAGGAAGGAAATGTAAAGTTATTTATATCTGGTGACATGAAAGAAAAATGTGGAAGACTTTGCTGCTTATGTGTATCCATTAGGACTGTGGCTTATTACGTGGGCTCACTTTAAGACACTTGAAAGCTGCTTTAATTAATGCCTCACTATAAACTTAAGTGACGACGCTGAAATTGAATTATTATAAATAATAGATCAGAGAATATTTTCTTATTAAATTTCAAGAATTTTGGCGTACTTTTCAGACAAAATTGAAAAAAGTTGAATCTCTAACCTAATATGCTGCTGGACTAAGATATGCAACTTTGAATTTGTCAGAAATTGTGCAAATTAATTCTCAAACTTACATTTGTTAAAAATGTGTGTGAGAGAGAGTAGTGGTATTTTTCAGGTTAGTTTAAGATATCATCCTATGTATCTCCAAATCCTAATTAGTCTTTTTTTTAGAAATAAATTACGAATAAATCTTCAGAAGTAAGAGGACATGGAAAAATAAAGCAGTATTCAAATAAGCGAAGCCAAGGAATATGTTGCTGATGGGAAAACATTTTGGAGGAGGGGTGCTTTCAGATTAGCCTTCTCTATGCCAGATGCACTAACGGTTGTTTGGCTTCTATTTGCTAGAATATTCACATTTATGGCATTATTTTTGGACCACTTATTTAGAAGTATGTACCCCAGCCACTCTGCTTTAAAATTTATACTTACTTCTTTTCTGCACATTTATAAAAGCATTTTTTTTCTTAAGCATCAGTAATTACAATGGTTTTTGTCTCTAGATTACATAGATTCATTCTGCAGTTGCTAAGTGTCCGTGTAATACGTTGTTTTGTGTGTCTCCATCTTTAATGATCCAAAAAAAGCTTTTAGGAATTTTCAGTCTTTTTGTTGAACCAGTTTATTTGTCCATAAACTAGTTGATTTGCTTGAGGTTGGGGTATTTCTTGGCCATCTTGTATTATTTCTGTTGTTTTATTTTTTTCTGAGCATTTTTGAAATGTCTTAAAAATGTATTTCAATAACCTTCATCTTCCTGTGTCTTGAGGGCTGAAATGAGTTATTCTTGAGGAATGAAGGATTTTGCTTAGTGTCAGCTTCCTCCTCAGACCACAGTGGGAGAATAAATCTTAAAATTTGAGAGGTTCTTAAGATCGTGGCCTATTTTTTCTGTAAAACAATGTGACTCTCACTACTTCTGGCTACTAAATTCCTTTACCTGGTGTGCTTGCTGGCCATTAATAGTATTTTTGAAAGCAAGTTCTCCCTTTTAGCAAATCAAAGTCAAATCAAGCTAATTAACCCACAAATCAGCTCACAGCAAGAAGTCAACAAAAGACAATGTTTTTAGCAAAGAATGGCCTGGGAACAGAAAGCAAGGCAGACTCAGTTTGGCTTTTTTGTTTGTTTAATTTCCAGTGCTGAGATGGAATCCAGGACCTCTTGAATGTTAGGCAACTGGTCTACCACTGAACCACACCCCTCTTAATCCTAAAACTTTTTTCTACAACCAAACAATTTCATGTGCTCTTTTATTATGTGACAAAAGTATCTTTTAAAATGTCTGCATCTCCTGCCAAACTCAACATTTCTTTGGGACTCTTATCCTTGGAGTCACAGTGCTTGACTAGTTACTGAGATGTCTGATGAGCTAAATATTGCTGTCCTCCTTGTTATTAAGGATTTTGTGCCTTGTGCCCAGGTTAGTTAGCTCACAAATGCAATGGAAGGCTTACTCTTTGCTTTGTGCGAGGTCTTGTTGTGTGAAATACTATGGTCTCCCACACAGAGACCCTTTTGTACTCTTTGCAGCCTGTTCAGAGCTGCTTGTTTGCCTGGTATCTTTGCTGCCTGAGATTAAGTCTTTCCCTACTGCTGCCAGTGTATATTCTAGTTGCCAGTGTATATTAACCTCTCCACTGCTCCTTCCTCCTCAAGCATGCAAAACGGCAGAGGTTTTCCTTTCTACTCTTTAATCTGCCACCATTGTTCAAGACTATGTTCACCATCTGCACCTTTGAGTTTCAGATATTTGACTTTGACCTTAACCAACCTTATTTCCTTTTTTGGACCCTCTGGTATTCACCCACCCCTGGCCTTCCAAGTGAAAATTCTGAGTCTCAGATTCTTTTTCTGACCATACCTACCCTTCCAAAAGTTTTGCTCACTTAGCACCACTGAACACCCTCCTCTCCCATTTTTGTTTTCTGTACCATTTTCTAATGTTTTCCTTTTGTGTTATACCCATCTTTGAGAGCATTTTCAACTGTACACCAACCCTCCAGTTTCTTGCCACTAAATCCATCGTAATCTGATTTCCTAACTTCAGTTTCAACTGAAGGTCAGTTTATTCATCCTTGCTGGAGATTTAGCTGCATGTAATAATGCAGCCATACCTTTTGGTCAGCTAGGAATTGATTTAGCTTCACCTACAGTTTAAGGGCTGGTTAACAGTGCTGTGAAGTTATTTTATCTTTTTTCAATTAATTTTATATCGCTCCTCCACTTTTGTTGGTTTGCTGGTCTGTCCAGATCATCCTCAATCTTAATCCTTAGCAAATGATCATATTTCCCAATCAAATTAGGCATATTAAGACAATATTACGGTCATTTTTTGGCAAACTATTTGTCAAGACTACTCTTGAACACAGTAGACATTTCTTTCTTTGGCCAGTTCAGACCAGAACTCTTCTTTTCAAATAAACCAGCTGTACTGTTTTTCTCTGTTATATTGATGTTCTTACTTTTTGGAGGACTTGTATGAATGTCTTTATATCTCAAAACACCTCCAGCCTCTAAAATAGTACTTAGTTCTGTCTGTGCAACCTCGTTTGGTGTGACTTGAGAGTCTCCTTACCAACAGACATTGTCTCCTCCAGGTGCACTTGTTTTGAAGTGTGATCCTCAGACCTAGACTAGGGGACTGCCTTAGTGTCACTCCATAAATTGGATCATGTCCTTTGGAGTTAATCAACCTGAGATATGATCTGCCCTTTTCTTTTGCATGCATACTACAGTATTTACTTGCCCAATTACGCAATCTTACGCATATTCCTCTCCAAATACACGGCTCCCCAGTGTCAAGTTTGGCCACTTGATTTAGAGCTTTTAGAAATGCTTTCATTCAGTATAACCTTTGCCTTTAGTTAATTGCTCGAGAAGGTCAAGGTTGTTTTCTGGTTCCATACTACAGATGACCCATTCCCCCATAGGATTCCCCCGGTGTATAATTAGGTCTTCATCCACAGTTTGATGTGATTGCTGCTGAACAGGAACATTTGGCGTGGTTGTAGACACTTTTGTCCTGCTTTAGGCTAGTCTGTGAGTTAGTCTTCTTTAGGAGCCTGTTAGAGGAGTCACGGGGTCAAATAACTTTCTTCCAGTTCATTTACATTCTTTGTGTGGCCCCAGAGTACAGGCGACAGACTGGTCAAAATCTTTGTTGGAATATGTTTACACTTTCTGCAGAACAGATATTAAGTAACTATATTTAAAACAAAAGGAAATAACAGTAAATTAGTTTATAACATGTTTCTGTGACCTCTCACTGGCTTGGAGGTAAAAACAGTTCACATTTTGAATGCTCACATAGTATATTTTTAAGAATCTCTTTGGAACAGTGCCCAGAATTAATGGTAAAATCTGGTCTAGGGGGTGGAATCTACCTTCTATGTTTTGAAAATTGAGGTGCTAGCTGGATTCTTTGTTCTTTGTCAGTCCTTCTCTGCATAATAATATTTGTAAGGATGATTTTAACAAGTTTCTTATTTTTCCACAAATGCTTTTAGTATTTTGTAGTACAGTTTCTCCAAATTAATAGATTAACCTCATTTGGAACATTTAATATAATCGTATATCTTCAGCCTTGAATTTGTCATTTTAATTTTCACTCTAATTTGTGAGTATGAATATTATTTTCTGGAGGAAGAGAGATGAAACAGAACAAAAGTGGAGTAGCCAGGGCTGGTGATGATGGACCATCATTTGAATTTCTTCATGTGTAAGCGGCCAGTATAGTCTTCGGATATCTGGTAAAATTGTCACCATTACCACTTGATCTGACAATTATGACAAGAATTTAAATGACTTTTTGTTTTTGTAATTCTTAAAAGCTTCAGTTTATTTTATTTTTCATGCTTTATGACACTCTTCTTGGAGGACTAACTGCTCTCTTGTAGCTTTCTCCATAAAGTTTATTATGGATTATACTTGTCAGGGGGAGACACAAACAGAGTTTATAACACAGTCCCTGAATTGAAAGGGTTTTAAGTTTGCACATGGCAGATAACATAAACAAGAAACAGTTTCCAAATGCTGCATGTCGACAATTAATAATGAGCTCAATATGGGGGGACAGGTTTAGTAGACCTAAAGAACGTAGGAGACAGCATGGCAGGACTGTTCTGTGGGATGGAAAAATGAGAAAAATTTCCAGGAAAGACAGAATTTAAGATCAAGGACTTAAATGGTATTATCTTTATTGTTATAGAAACTGGACATTGAACCCAGAACATTCACACTAAGCTATATCCTCAGCATTTTGTTTTTTAATTTTGTGGCAGGGCCTCAGGAAGTGGAATGTGTGGTCCTCCTGCCTGCCTCTCAGTGCTGGGGTTGCAGGTGTGTGCCATAACACCCAGGTTTTAATTGAGATTTTAAAACAAGCCCAGGATGTTGGACTACACAGGGCCCTGGGGAACAGGTGTGTGTGTGTGTGTGTGTGTGTGTGTAGCAGGTATGTGTGTGCAAAAATCTGTGCAAGCCACAACTTTGATGTACAGTGTTTTTATAAAGAGGCAGCATCTTGCTATAGTGCGTTGCTCAGGCTGGCCTTGAACTGCTGAGCTCAAGTCATCCTCTTCCCTCAGCTTCCCAAGAAGCTGGGACTGCAAGTGTGAAAAGTGTGATCACTGCTTCCTGCTCCTCCATTTCAGCTTTTGCTTCCCCTTGCTTGTCCTTGGGAGGCCGGGGCGGTAGTCCCTCCTTACATCTCAAACATCTCTGCCTGTCAGAAACTTTCCCTGAACTTCCAAGTCTAAATTCAAACCTTGATAAACTTTTGCAACCCCTGTGGTTAGGTGTTACACCTTTTGTGGGACCTTCTGCTTTCTCTGTAAGACTAATGCTATGTAGAAGAGATGCCAAAGACAAAGGAATTCTCTGAGTTCTGGGTGCTGTACACGCCTGACCTCTTTAGGTTCCGAAGGTCTGCCTCCCACCGCAGCAACAGGTGAAATTGACCAGGAGCACAGAATTTAAATGTACAAATGAGTGTTTCTGTTCTCGAATTTGAGGAACCTTTGACTTTAATCCTTGTGTTGTTAGTAGAGAAGTGTGTGTGTGTGTGTGTGTGTGTGTGTGTGTGTGTGTGTGCTTGTCTGTCTACCTATCATCTGTTCATCTATTTATATGTCTGTATTGGCATTCCAGATGTTTAATCTCCATGTTCTATCCCATTTTTGCATCTTCAGGTATGTCCAGGTAGTTAAATGGCATGTGGTTTATAATTATCCTTCTTATTCAGTATTTTGGTTTCTGTGGTTTCATCTAACTGTAGCCATTTGTGGTCTGGAAAGTCTTAATTGGAAAATTTCAGCATTAGACCATTCCCAAATTTAAAAACCTTCTGTGGCAAAATATTGCCCAAACTGTTCTATGCATATTATTAGTTATTGTTGTTAATCTCGTCCTGTCTTAATTTGTAAATTAAACTTTATGACAGGTGTGAATACGCACGGAAACAACATAGTGTTTATTGGGTTTGGTAAAATCTGCGGTTTCAGGGCATCTTTAATGTCTTGGATTGTAGCCTTATATGGATAAAAAGTCATTGGCGGATTTCAGTATACCATTAATATAACATGGACTCCTACGTTGTGTATTTGTGAGCATAAGCTTCAGGGAGTGCTGTGTGTGAGGTATTTATGTTACAGAGGTAGTGTGGAAAGAGATTTGGGTGAGCACAATAAAATTGTCAATCCTGGAGGAGTCCGGATTTGAAGCAAGGTATTCTTACACTGGATTGCGCTAAACACTTGCAAATGTGATTAGCAGAAGGCAATCTTCTTGGTGAAAACTCTTAGCCAAAATTCTATATTTTTCATGTTTAAGGTAGTTGCGCACAGTAATTATGAATAACATTCTTCCTTGTCCACTGCTCCCCCAGGTAATAATTTAATATGTCACAGTGTCTGTTTCTGGTTCTTTGCTGTGGTGGCCGGCTCAGGGCAGCTCTGCAGCTCTTGCTATGCTGTACTAGAAGCACTCAGCAGTAGCACCTTGGGAGAGCTGTGATTATTCTTGATAAGAGTTTGTGTTTTGCTTGGAGAACAAGTCATCCCAGCTGAAATTGCTGTCTTTCTCTTCTTTTCTTTTCCCCGTTTTGTTCGAAGCTCTGAGTTCATCTTAACCTGAACTGGCTTCCAGTAGCGCACCGCTAGCCTGGTCAGAGAAAGAAGGTCCCATGTGCAGGGTGTCACCAGGCCTCCCTCCACAGAATTTCTGTCTCCTGATACCACTCCAGGTTCTTAATTCTTTCAGTGGATGACATCTTTTGGATTGTATCTCCTGCATGCTACAAGATAACAGTTTTATTCAGAAAAATAGGTCAGCCTTGTTTACTAGTGGCGAAAATGGCTGTGACTGTTGCGTTTAATCAAGCACAAAATATTTAGATGCAATCTTTTTCCCCCCCTCGCATTGCCAGGGAGGGAAGCCAGGGCCTCATGCATGTTAGGTAAGCATTCCATCACTGCGCTGCACCCCTACTCCCATCCCTTTTTATTTTGAGTCTCATTTAGTTGCCCAACCTGGCCCCTTTCAATCCTCCTGTCTCAGCTTCCCAAGTAGCAGAAATTACAGAGCTGTGCCACCTGCTCAGTGGCCCACAGACTTTTCAGTCATGAGAAAAAGGAAATTGAAAGGCTTAGCCAGTGGGACGTACAGAAGACACCCAAATAGGTGAAGCAAACAAAAATAGGGTACCCAGACAGGAAGAGAATGGCCCAGAGAAAGCCGGAAGGGTCCTGAAAAGAGGTGTTTTTGTTTTGTTTTGTTTTTTTTTTTTTTGTCTTTTTCATTTTTATCGGTACCAGGGATCGAACTTGCGACTGCCTGCTTGCAAGGCAGGCGCTTATGCCGCTGAGCTAAATCCCCAGCCCCTGAAAAGAGGTGTTTTTTCATATTTTGCCTGTTAATCTTCTCCATTGTGGGGAATTGTTAGAACATTTTTTCTCAGTAGCATGCAGTTGCCTTGATTGTCTACCTAAATCAGACCAGGCTCAAGTGAATTTAGTTATTTTTATTGGAATAGCAGTTTCAGTGTACACTGGAAGTTAACTGGGAGCTTCGGTTGTCATACTGTGTTTGGCTAGCGTTCTCTACCTGAGCTGTTCTCAATGAATGATAATTAGTGAATACACATCTGAAGACTTGCTGTCCCATACCACGTGGTAAAAGCCATTTTCAACGGTCCAGCCATCGTGCCTGCTGAGCAGCTGCTGAGTAGCTTTCATCTGACAGCTACACCTATGTCTGAATTCCATCTTGCAGCTCTGTGTCTGGATCCTGCTTTTGCTTGAAAGCAGTTGCATGCAGTCATCTTAACTGCGCTTTGTACCAAGTCCTGTTTTGTTTCCATGTCTTTAGCACATATTGTTTTTCTGCCCTGGAAGGCCTTTTCTTGTTTTCTGTACACTTTCTTACTCTATAGGTCGTCTTCTGGCTTGGCCAAAAGCAAGAAGGTACTATGCAGAGGGAGCCACTAGGACACCTTCCACAAATGTTCCTGTCCCTCTGATCCTGTGCTAAGTTCCTTTGGGTGAGTGAAGTGTTATCTTTTTGAGAAAGTGATTATTGATGAACTTTGAAGAGTTTTGGTGTCCCTGTCCCAACCTGTCATGACATCTCACTGCATGAATTTTTGTGGCTTTAGCTTCTCTGCCTCCTTCCAGCCCCACTGAAGGCACTCCTTAAGGTCTAGGGGTCATCTTGTGTTAGTTTGCTTGTTTTTAGTTCTTGAAACCCTATCATTTAGATGCCTTACCTGGTATGTGGGAGTATATGAATGCATGTATAAGTGAATGGCTAGAGGGAGTGAGGAAAGATTCAAGGGAAGAACAAATAGAATCTTTATTAAAGAAGGGTCCGGAATGGAACATGATGTAGTGGAGTCTAGGGTGCAATATAAACCAAAGTGGAAAACAAACAAACGAACAAACACACACAGCCCTGCCAGTGTTGGTGAGGAGGACCTGTCCATAGATATGGGGCTAGTGTGATGTTTATGTAAAACCATGAGAACCTTCAGCATTATCAAAATGGTTAGTGAGATAAAAACTTAAAGCATGTATATCCTAAGCAGTAGCTATGCCCACTGTCATTATATGGTTGTTTTTGAGATAAAAAGTGACATATTTTTACCATTGAGCACATAAAGGTTGTTTTGTTAAAAGAACATGAAAAAGAATTCCAACCTTTTGTTGATCCATATGTGAAAAAGAATGATATTGCAATGTATGTAAGCAAAAGATTGCAGGAACTCTTCGGTAGGACACCCAAATTGAGAAGTGGTAATTTTTTAAAGACTGATGTGCAAAATGGCATGTGAGTGTGGTAGATTCCATGGTTCTGCTGCATTCTTTGAGTGGCTCATTCATTCATGCGTCTCGCTGTCCTTCATGAGCAGTTGGCCATTTGGAAAATTAACATAATGTAGATTTTCCAAATGGTGGCACACTTTATTATGCAGTAGGAAAGTGTGACATCAGTTGGAATCACCACTGATCTAATCAGAAAAATTTAAGTATCATGAAGCCATCAGACTCACCGTGGTAGATATAGGTGCTACAGCTGTGTGCTGAGAAAGCCTTCCAGGTTAGTCTTCCTCAGATGCCAATCTGCCCTTAAACAGAAGAAAAATATACATGAATTTTCCCTTAAATTAGGTTAAGTATTAAACACTAAAATAATAACAAATTAAGTGAAAAATATAAAATTCAGAAAAATTGAAAAAATTTTGTATTATTGCAAGACAAAACAGCTAAGTGTATTTGAATCTTGTGGTTCCATGTGATGCAAAAAATAACTCAGAATATCAAAAGACTAATATATTAGACAGTAATTAGCTTACATGAATTGAAGCAAGTATGATAGCTAGGGAAAAAATTCTGAGGACAAACTATATCAAGTGTGTAAATATACTGCACATTTACAGTTTAAAGCTATGAATTGAGAAAATTTACCCAACTGTCAATTCTACTGGAAAGACTGTCTTCCCTAGTCACATAGCCTCTGGGAAGCTTTGCCATACACTGATAGCATGATAGTGCAGAAGGGGTATGATGTTAGCGGTTTCTGATGAAAACACTCTAGACCTTTAAGAGTATCTGCCGAGGTCTTGGAGCATCTCTGGCGACATCTGCTTTAGAACTACTGGGTCTTGCACGAGGCACAGTGATCATAAGGTGCTACATTAATTTTATATAAAGTAGAATAGTAATATCAGGTAGTAAATCCTTACTATTGGTTAAGCACATCCTGTGTTCCAAGCACCAATGCATCTTCATCAACTTAATCAAATCATTAGGGAGATGTACTTTCTCATCTCTGTTTTACAGATGACAAAAAGGAGATGTAGCACAGACATGTGCCTAAGTGTCATATGCTGCCTTAGCAATGGAGCCCGGGCTGTCACCAGGCTGTCATTATGCTGCATGAGTTTTTCTCGTAGTTTGTAAATGGCTAAGTTTTGCATATAAACAATAGTAGGCTATAGTTTACACTGTTTAATATATGACTGACATCCTCACTAGGTTTCAAGGGTCTGTGTATTTCCAAATACAATTCCAAAAACAGGAATGAAATTAGTATGTCTTAAATAGTATTGATAAAAAATTTAGCCAAATTAAAATTAAAAAATGTTCTGTGATTCTCTCCAATTTAATGCTATTTATAAACTAAATACTTAGGCAACTTGTTTCTATTCCTGTTTCACTGTGGAAGAATGTTTCAGTGGATGTACTTATCAACTAAAAGATAGAAAGATTTTGTTTGCTTTTGTTTTCCTTTATGCTCTAAGTGGCCTTGATGAGAAATAGTCAAAAATTTTATTCTTTTTCCCTTCTTCAATATGGTCTTTCCTCCAACCCCTAGATTATTTTAAAGATTGTTGCTTTTCTTATCATTTTGGTCCTTGAATTTCAGAAGTTTGATTATGATTTGTTTTGGTATTTTTTTCCTGTATTTCTTTTTTTGTCTTTTTCCTTTTTATCGGTACCAGGGATTAAACTGATGACTGCCTGCTTGCAAGGCAGGCGCTTATGCCACTGAGCTAAATCCCCAGCCCTTTTCTGTATTTCTTATGTGTTAGGTTTGATCAGCTTTTTTGGTTTATAAATTAATGCTGTCATCACATATATATATATAAAATTCCCAGCATTATTTGTTCAAATCATTTTTCTGTTTCTATTTCTTGTATTTTCTTGTCTGATAGTATCTAGGCCATTTCTTAGTCTGTATCTATTAACTGTTTTCTCTCTTGACCATGAGTATTTTTTTTCTTTTTCTTTGTGAGCCATGTATCACTCTCTATGTGGTATGTGTACAGAAAGTATACACACACACGCACACACACCACACACACGTACACAAGGGTGCACAGGTGAATGAATGAGTCTAAAATGCTGTCACTGGACATTATTTTTCTTGATTGCAATTTTATTCGGATTCAGGTGACTGTGGCTTCATATTTTTTCAGGGTAGAATCAGAACTCACTTTTGTACCCTGATGTAAAATCAGACACATTTGATGCTTTTTTTTTTTCACCCTGCAGCCCAGCATTCAGCTTTTGGGTTTGTCTCTGCGCTCGGGTGCTCTGTGCATTGAGGGGTCTTTTTCTGCCTGCCGTCCATCAGCAGCTGCTGCCTTGTGTGTGCTGAGGCTTTGGGCATCTCAGAGTTTTTGCTCTCCATTTCCCTGCTCAGAGCTTTTACAGGCTGCTGCCTGGTGCTTAGGGAAGGCCTCAGAGATCCAGGAGAGGCTCTCTCTCAACACCCTGGCCTTCAGCACCCTCTAAGGCTGGCAGAAAAGGAGCTGGCGCGTTGCTGGGTTAGCACAGGAAACAGCTACGAGTCTGACGGCAGTTTTCAGCTTTTCCTGACCATTGTGCCTGGGAGATTCTGTCACCTTCTACCACTGCAGCGGGGACAAATATAGCTCTGGGTCTCATCTCCCTTGGGGACTGTAACATTACGGGGTGTCTCTCAGTGGCATTTCTTGCAGTTCTCAACTTTCTGAGTTCTCCCCTTTTTTAAATAACATGACGCAGGTAAAGCTTAGGTACAGGATAAGAGTTATACATGTGTCAGTGGGATGTGGCCAGATGCGTACCTCTGTGAGACCACCACGACCACCAAGGTGGCAAACATGTCTATCACCCTGGAAGTTTTCTCGTGGCCCTTACAGATGAGTTTTCGGTTTCTAGAATTTATATGAAAGTAATTTTCTAATATTTCCTCTCTTGTATCAGGGCTCAATTACTCAGCATAATAGCTCTGACTTGCATTGTCTGTGTCTGCTGAGTGATACCCCAAGGCGTGGTACCCGAGTGATACCGTGAGGTGTGGTACCCCAGTGATATCCTGAGGCGTGGTACTCTAGTGATACCCTGAGGTGTAGCACCTAAGTGATACCGTGAGGCATGGATACCTGTGCAGTAGTTACTCACTCACTGTGATACGCTCTTAAGTTATTTTCCATTTTTACCTAATTCGAATAAAGCTGCTATGAATATTTACCTACAAATCTGTGTTTGAGTATATGTTTGTGTTTCTCTCGAGGAAACATGTCTAAAAGGTATAACTGAGTGGAAATATCAAGTATTTTAATACATGGCCACATTGTTATAAAAACTGTAAGTACTCCTTTCCTACCAGTAGTGTATAATTAGCGAATAAATATATGTCCAATTATTAGTGATATATATATATATATATATCTCCAAGTAGTTCACATTACCAAAAGTTTTTGACTGACTCAAACTTTTGAATTTTAGAGACTCAAATAGGTTTTTGTCCAGTGACTAATAGTACTATATTGATGAAAAGATATTTACTGGCTGTTCTTGTATTTTTTTTAGTAAATATCTGTTCAGATCTCCTGTTTATTTTTAAATTGAATTATGTTTCCTTATTGAGTTGTAAAGCTTTGTATAGTGTGACTCCAGTTTTTGCTGATGTATGTGTTACCAGTCTTATCTGTGTGTGGGCTTGTCATTTTGCTAATGAAGTCTTTCAAATAACAAGGGAGCTTTTTGAAGTATCATCATGTTCTTCATTTAAGTTTCATGCTTTGTTGATTGTTTTATTTGTTTCTATTAAAGCATCTTTATAGTTTTGCCTTTTACATTTAAATTTATAACCCATTAAAATTAATTTTTATGTAAAAGTTCTTTCTCTTCCATATGGATATCCAGTTGTTCTAATGTCATTCATTGTGAAAGTTTTATCTATGGTGTTGCCTAGTAACTTAAGCTGAAAAATTAATGAGAACCTTGTAAATCTGTTTTTGGACTGTTCGTTCTGATGATGTCTGTGCCGTTCCTTTCTACCCCACCCCCTCCCTGAGACAGTCTTACTGTGTTACCCAACCTGGTCTTAAACTCCTAGAATCAACCTTCCTGCCTCAGCCTCTCAAATTGCTGGGACAACAGATATGTGTCACTGTACCCAACTCCAAACTTTAGTTACTCTGGCATTACTGTAAGTTTTAAATCAAACATTTAGGTTCCTGTCTGGTTTTTATCCTCTTTAATACTAACT